AACTGCATCCTAATAGATGTACTATGGTCCACTGTTCAAACAACAACTGCAAAGTTCATCCTCTATCCTTCAGAAACAAATTCCTTGTGAACTATTCCTTTTCAATTGAAAATGTGCAATAAACATCATCTTTACTCGAGATTTCCAAAGATACAGAAGTTGCTGTAACTAACGTAAGTTCTTTTCGAACCCGAAGCACATAATGGCTGTTTTTTTCCTGAGTATCATGAGAAAAGCACCAAGTTTTACCTCCTGTGAAGATTGTTTTGAAAAGTTTATTAATTTCGGTTTTACAGTGAATTTTTACTTCTATCTTTTATTCAGCTTTCGAATTTACGGCAGTTTTATGTTTACTTACTAAGAAAACGATTAATTGGTCAGATATTTCTGCCCAAAATCTGACTGCGATTTTATTCGGACGATAAACTTCCTTCTAGGGAAGGTAAATTCAAGGTCTTAGCAATAATGGCTGTCATTTATTGTTTGGAAAGCTTGCTGCAATTTGTTAAAAATATTTCTAAAATTTTGTAGACGCAATACGTGTTATGAAGTATTTCATTATTCATTATTACGCTCTGTTTATTATTTAACATGGTGAACAAATTTTATTTCCGTGTAAAACGGATCTATTACAAGTTCAGTTTTAGTATCGAAACAATGTGTTCTTGCTAACATATCTATGCACTTATGTTAGGAAGAAAATCTAATAAACTGGTACAAGTCTTGACTTTTCATTGCACCCTTTTAAGGAGAATTAAAAAACTTTACAGAATCTTAGAGATCTCAAATATTTGGTCAAATCAAATGTTACTAATGATAATAATACAAATCTGTACAAAATATTTAAGCAACCGTACGCTTTTGTTAGGAACAGAGTTCACTAACCTTATACGAGCACTAAATCTTCATTTAATCTTTTTTAGGAGAACAGTATAAACAATTCTAAAATAAGCATAATGCTTCTCAGAATCTGGAAGATCGCAAGTGTTAGGTCCCCTCAAAGTGTTATAAGGAATTAAAAACACTATAAGGCATCTTATTCATAATATTTATACCAAGAAAGAATGAAACTCCATAATATTCTATCACGAAATACCCATAAATGTCGAGAAGAACAGAAGATTCTAAACAAACAGTAAAGACAACGTAAGGCAGGAAAAATCTAATTACTTTAATAAATTTGTGGCAGAACGCTAATTATGGTTCATAATGTGAAAGGTACGTAATCACAGACGATCCGAGACAACTTTTAAAGCAATTAAAAAGAAAATAAAAATGTTATGAAGTTTCTAAACAAGAAAGATTTCGTGAAATAATGGTAGGAGCTTCATAGACACACAGTTTGATCGCACCTTTTGGACAATTTTGCTTAAGTAACGCAAATGTTGAACAATTTTCATTAAACAAGTAATGAAGTATAAAAAACTAACAGATTTTAGAAGCATAAAAGCTACTAGCTAAATTTCGTCTGCCACAACCAAAATTTTGCAAACTCAAAATGCTTCATGTAAATAAATTTTGAATTTATTTTTGCACTCTCTGAAGAAATCATTTTGATTTTTTTTCAGTGCAAAATGGCATAGAATTCTTGTAATCAAGACAAACGATGACCCAATATAAAATTTCTTAACAAAGGAAAAAATCAACAATCACTACGTTCTAGACGAAGAAAATTTAAAATGTTTATAGAAAAAGCTATATATTTTAAACAGCTCTTAAAACTTACAGCAAATAGTTCTAAAATACGGACGTACCTAATACCTATACGGAAAATAAAGTAATAAACAAAACTTATTTCAATTAAAAAAATGAATATTCTTTGAAGTAGCAATCAAAACTAAGCATAGGATTTTTATACAAAAATTACTTATTAAGTAAAAAATGGAGATTCATTGTGATTGCAGATGTATCTTTAATGTATTTAAATCTCTCTAATAGAAAATAATCAATTTACAATCATAATATAGCAGTACTATCTAAATGTGAAGAAAATATCTTAAAACCTTGGGATGAAAATTCTTAAGAAAGTTTCAGTCAAGATTTCATAATCCTAGTTGGCTTTTTAGAAAAGAAAACTAAAGTTAAGGCGAGTCGATAGAAATGTAAACAAAAATTTTATGTACTATCTAACAGTATATCGATCCATGTAAATATATATTAAGAAATATTATATTATATATTAAGAAAGGAAATATTATTATATGTAAAGAATTATAGCAGCATGACTAAATTTCGCGATTTCCGCATGTATAACGTAGATTCTCCCATGAAGACATTCCTTCCCTTAGGAACAGATCCCTTACGTACTTTGCCATATTTTAATAGCCTAACTTAACATAACCTAACCTTTTACTCAAACAACGTTTTCTGCCTTGACAACAATAAAGTATTATAATAATTTCCCAACGCAGAAGCTGTGCATTCGGCTTGTTAAAAATCATTTATATACATCGATTAAAGCCAAGTGTTAGATTATGAAAAGCAGAACGATAGAGTTGGAAAACTTTCCTCTCTAAAATTGTTTTGTGTTCATAGAAAACAGAGTGTATATTAGTAGTTAGGAGACAAAACAATCAAACTGATTGCTTAAAAATGAAAATTTGTATTTAATTGTTTTGCTGGAATAGTATCACTCAAAAATATACTTAAATATATGATTGTAATACTTTTTTTTAATTTGATTAGATACTTGCATGACAATACTATTATAATAATATTTTTTAGTTATTGATTTATTTAAAATTCTTACACTTTCAACGAAAAGTTTAATATACAGACTCCACTTCTTTAAATAAAAGTAGTAATTTCTTTTTTTCCCCTCATAATAGATATAATAGCTTATGACGCCCACCTGGTATAATTGCTAGCGTCGCTGACTGCTGTGCCGAAGGGCCTGGGTTTCAATCCCGGAGATGGCATGGATGTTTGTAAATGAATATTGTCGGTGTGGCATAGTGGAGCTCTAAATATGCGGCGAGCTGAAAGTCCTCTCTTGTGGTTTGGTGGAAGGGAAGAAGAGGAGGGGAGACCCTCGGACCCGTCCCTCCAGGGGGCTGTCCATCAAAATTGGGCGCGGAACTGAGCTAAATCGCACTGCCACCTGTATGGTGCTCAAGGCCCTTGCGAACAACAGGCGTATCTTGCGGTCTTTGCCACGAGGAATTTCGTGGGCTTGGGCTGACGTTTTTGTCAGAGAATTGAGCATAAGTAACAACATAACAACAATAACAATAGCTCATAATAGCTGTCTATATTTCCACTGACAGCAGGGCAGTCAATAGCTTTCTGTCTATCTACCGACAATCTACTTCTCCCGTCTAATCGAACCGTTGGGGCAGTTAGATAATTGTGTCAGCAGAGAACCAAGTGACTCTGCTGACACAATTATCTTTGCTTCAAAATATCCTGAATTGCAACTCTCCAGGGCTTATAGGGCTCTAGGGTGAATGGGCAATTATACTAGTGTGATTCAGATCTGTCCAAAAGTCAAAGTTTTGGGGAAGGGGTCAAGATGCGTGCTGGACAAGGGACTGGCATAAAGGGTGCAAACCGGGTGAGGTGAAAGACATATGCAGTGTCTGCCTTTTACTGAGTTAGAGATGGATTGTTAAAACGAAATGCTGTTAATAAGTTTTTCAAGAATTACTAAATATTATATAGATATATAGAATACAGGTACGAGCTATAAATGAGTTACATGGATACACATTACATAATTACATGAAATAAGTAATGCAAAGCCATTAGCCAATGACATCTTCTCTTTAATTCTTATGTAGTACAACAGTTTAAAAATTTTAACAAGTAAGTCCTGATGCCATCTAAATTCTGAAAAATAGACTGTATCATAAATAATGCAGTTTTTGAAAATTTTCTGCTTACGTATAGATGACTGCAGAAACCTAGTTTTATTATCTTGTGAAAATGCTTAGATAAAACCTGCGATATCTTCACATAAATACAATTTTACTTCTTTACACGTTTAAAGCAGAAGCATTATTACCTTTTGAATAGATATCGGTAATAAAAGGTTAGCAAAAATGGAGAGAGAAACTTCTGCTTACATATTTTTTTTTTTTTTTTACCAAAAATACCTGTTATAATTGGAGAGCTATACTGCTTCTGTCACAATATTGAATTATGCACTTTAAAATCAAGCAGTAGTGCTAAGACCTAGCAGGTATATTTGAGTATAATGTTACAAACTTTGTACATATGTAGGTAATTATTGTGAAATTATATGTGTAGTGTAACATGAAAATCTAAAGGGGCTATGCTTTCCCGGCAAAGTAAGAATATAAAGCAATTCTATTTAACATTGAGTAAATAGCTGTTTCGCTAAATTGCCGAGATACTGCCATGCTGACGACATTCTTGTGGAACAATTTTGGTCACCAAATTTGAAGAGAAATCGCCAAAAGTTGCCAAGCTTGGCGGTACTTTGATCTGGGAAGAACTATATAACACCGGAAACAGTATCAGCTTCTCAGTTGTTGTTGTTAGTTCAGAGTTGAATTCGGAGCATTGAGATATACGAGAGAGCTACGCTTTTTAGATGCACTTTGCATTATGTTGTGATTACCGTTCTTAGTAGTTTGAAATGCAATTACTGATTGTACACTGTGATAATGTGACGCGCTGTACAAGTATTTTCGTGGAAAGTTCCAGAAATGTGAAGGGTTGCCTTGGATAAAATAAATTTTTATCAAGCTATCATCGATTCTTTGTGCATTCAATCTATTACGAACCCATATGTACGCAACAATATTTTCTACGTAACTTAAATATTAAAGGAATATTCAAATAATGATGACTAATGAAATGCTTTCACAGAACACAGAAAGCTGCTAAATTTGTTATACAAAATTGTGAATATTTATTTTATAAATTTCCAATATTTTGATTCAACAAATGTAAAACAATTAATTAAATATCAATGTAATTAAAAATTTCTTATTATACGGCAGGCCGAAAATAGAAAAAATATTTTAAACGTCATTGTAAGTATAATTAGTAACTAGAGATAGCATTATAAACTTAATAATTAACAACATTAATCGATATGAGCAACTAATAACCCTGTAGATTTAACTGTCAAAGTATTTCTAATTCAGAATTTATAACATATAAATTGCAGTTGATTAATCACTAAGTTAAAAAAATTAGCATTCACACTTAGGGCACTTTTCTTTAGTGAGGTTTTTTAAGAAACTGTCATAACATATCTTTTGAATTAATTTTATCTTCTCATTTCCCCTCCAGTTAATGTTGATAGCAGATGGCATCATATCTGATAACTTTGTGGGGTTTTTTATGTAATCCAGATAATTTACTAACTTAGTATAATCAATCAAACCATTGTGAGTAGGAAATTTTAAAATAAAACATTTTATCAAATCTCTGTTAACTGGAAGAGGGTTAGATCTCAGTATGTCGTACACCACCGAAGGCTTGAAATATCCTTTATTTTCACTGTTGTCCATATCAAAGATTTCGAACTGCAGTTTTAACTTCTCAAATTCTTGATATCTTTTCTTGCGAATTTCGGTTTGCATTTTGGAAAGAAGATCCTCAAATTTTAATCCGACATCTTCTTCATAAGCAAAATGACGTGCAAGTGTCACTATTTGCTGTTCTGGAATCTTCTCACGGATATCTTCAGGCAGATTTTGATACAAAATAGTCTTAAAATCATCGTAGTTTATAAAACCAGTTTTCCCAGCATCCGCGTTTCCGAAAGCAGTTTTCATAATTATGGCTTTATCTTTAAGGAATGTTTTGAAAGTTGATTTTACCTGTGCTATATTTGAATGGACGAATATATCGCAGTGGTTTTCCATGTAATCAAACGTATATTCATCAGCATCACATATGCAAACTGCTTCATTTTCAACGCATATTATGTTTCCAACATATATGTCTTTTGCTGAATAGTAGCAGTGATTTGAATTTGTTGGCTGACATGAGGGTTTCACCAGTTTCATACGCTTCATATACCTATTGTTCTCCTTAGACATGATCCAGAAATTCATATGTGGTCCAATGATTTCAACAGTGTCATCTTCAAGGAAATATTTAATGATTAAAATTTGATTTTTCTTTAACACTTCATTTGTTAATATGTGTGCCAAGTACCGTAGTTCTTTGCCATCACAACCATCTCTGCAATTCAAAAAGAACTTCAGTTGCTGTTTGAGTCGAGGTTCTCTTTCAGGAACCTTTTTAGACAGTTCATAATTTAGAACGAAATCCCTTTTTCCTTTTATGGATTCGACTCCATGACAGGTAATCAGGCTATCCTCTTGCGAACCGAGTTGCTGTGGATAAACCAATTTGTGATACTTAGGGTGTTCTATTTTAGGTAACGTCACAGGCACTAACTCTCTGTTAAATTCAGTTCGATAAAATTCTTTTGTGAATTCATCGCAGTCATACAGATAAACTCGGGCACCAAATATATTTATGGCAGTACCTAAATCTAAGTCTTTAGAACTGTAGTATTGAATTGAATTCTTCTCTTCTAGCAGAGGATTTGAATCTGTGATAAACGCGCCTTTATCCATCTTATTCTGACTACTGAGCAGCAATTCTCTCAAACGCGTGTCTTTATTTTTCGCACTTAAGTTCAGTACTACTGGATCACATATGTCGCCAGGAAAATTTATTTGAGTCATATTCTTGGGAACGCGCGTAGGCCTAAGAATAACATAATTATCATACGCTCCATTCCGAAGACAATGCTTGTATTCTGGAATTTTCTGTGCATCGACTATTTTGATAGTGTCATCAGTTAGACTGTAATACAGAGAAATAAATCTTTTATCTTCAAGATGGGAAGCACTGCGTTCATAGATGCCAAAGAAATGCAAAACATTAGGAAAATTTCTGCAAAATGTTCTTAATGCGAAGTTTTTATGTCCCGGTCTGCGTTTGCACGTTTGCGGTTTGTCAGCCTGTTCTCGATCAGCAAGAACTGGATCTTTCATACCAGGTTCTGGAGCCTTCACTCGAAAACCCATTTCTGTCAAAAAAGTTCGAGTAAAGTTGTCGCAATCTAATAACTTAAAGGACTTTCCAAATAAGACTAGGGTTTCTCCCACATTTAGATCTTCAAGTGCATAATATCCACCTTCAGGCTTAGGCATCCTGTTTCTGTTCAAAATGCATCCTTGCAAAAATCCTGTATTTCTTTGTCTAGGCTCGAAAACCTTCATTGTTCCATCCTCTACAAAATAAAGCACATGACACTCTCTAAACTTCATGTGGTCCATCGCTGGCTCCCCTCGATCGTCGAAAGAAGCATAAAACCTCAATATGGGTAAACTCTTACCTTTAAATATATCATTTTCGAATAAATATTTAGAATACGCCGATTGCGTTGAAACGCACGTAGGATAGAAAATGACTTCTGGTGTATTTCTCTTACTTAGTGCAGGACTGGAGGAATAGCCCGGTAAAAACGGAAGTCTAAAATCACTTCCAGCCATTCGCGTTTCCTAGAAGGTATAAAAAATCTTCTTAGAAAGTTAAAAATATTTCATTTCAGACTTACTCTATGCAGAATGTATAAAGAAGAAGCATACTCTACACTAACCAATGAACTCTTCAATATATTTAAAGCATTCGCATTTTAAATATGTTAATTATACATTCGGTCCCTAGCTGATTTGTGTTTATTGTTGCAATTTTAGTCACTCATCAGAAACTGTAAGAGAAAATTTGGATCCGTTACCACATCCACCAAATAGTCCTGATTTAGACCTCAGATTACTCAGGTTACCAGCATATGGCACTAATCTGCACCTAAGATTTCAGATAACAATGCCAACTTGCAAGATAATTTTGCAGAAAAGGATCAAAATATCTTTGAAAGTAGATTTATATTTTTGCTTGGATTTTTGCTTAGGAGGGAAATCGTTAGAGCAAAAAGATCATTACATTATTGGTTAAAATTATTTCCTTATATTCTCATTAATTATTCTGTTATTTCTGTATTTTTCCTTAATTCAATGAAAAATAACCAAAAACAGTTTCGAGCTAACCAATAGATGATGATTTGTTCCTTCTACAGCTTCGTTAAACTAAACTCGCATACTTTGAATAAAATGAGAATGAATAGGGACTAATGCGTCATAAATGCGGACATAGCTTAATGCGTCATTTATCTCAAACACATTTCTTTAGAAAATACTACACTATAAACATATTATTTATAAGAAGCTACATACTTACCATTTGTTTCCTTTATATAGCAACTATTACAGGTACCTTATATGCAAAATAACGCATGCATAGTTTGCATAGTTTATTAATGCTATTTGGGTATTTGGCATGATCGGAGGCTTTAGATGTAAGGTATAATTGTGTAGCATAAACAATTTAGCCATTTGTGGTAATTGCTCTTTTTTTTTTTTTTTTTTTTTTTAATCATTTCACCTTGTTATAGGTTTAACAGAAATTGCGTGCGTTTCGCAACAGTACAAAAATTTACACTTAATTTAGCAAAACCGCTGTTTTAAAGTAAAAATTAATGGACGAATTTAAATCAATAAAACTGAAAGTCATATTTGTCTGTCATCCTTTTATAAACATGTTATCTTTGTGTTCACAAACTACTGAGATCAGGGAGAGACATAAATGCTTATTATACCTGTAACCTTTAGGACAGGGCAGCGTCTGGGCGTTTCCGAAGTTACATTAGGTACTTTCAGCCTTGTTTATTAAGTTCCGCCCACAAGTTAAATGTAGAACACTCCGAGGCCGAATCGAGGGTCCTCCTATCCTCTTCCCAAATCATCAGCTAGTTAACAGCTGATGGTTTGGGAAGAGGATAGGATAGCTGATGGTTTGGGAAGGGAAGAGGATAGGATTTCCGCTCGCCATGGGTTTTGAGTACCCCATGCTACACAGGCACTATACACATACAGACATCCATGCGTCCTTTGAGATTCAAAACCGTGTTCATCGGCACGTTAGTTAGCATCATTAACCACTACACCGGGTGAAAGGCATTGCATATTATACACACAAATGCAAGGTGACAGAGAATAAATGGTGGGAATTCTTGAGATCTTTGCAAATGATATGTTTCCTAATTAAAGTTGCTTAGTTTTAAAGTTGCTTAAATCTGAAATGCATTGATTAAACTATCATCAAAGGTGAATCGGATGACCGATTTAATATGAAAGTACTATATATATATATATGGCAGAGAAATGTGACAGAGATGTATATAGACAGAGAAAGAAAGATAGACAAACAGATAAATAGATAGATATTGGTATTTCTTTATTAACGCAACCAATGCAGCTCGGGGCCAAATTGTAAGCTACAGCTATTAAATATAGCTAAAAACTTAAAGAAGGCTTGCTTTAGTGAGGATCTATTAATACATTCATTTCCTTGCGTAAAGAAATTATTGTAGTGGCTAAAATTTTAGCGATTACAACACTTCATATCTAAACGTATAATATTTCAACTGAATACTTATGATATATCAAAGGGAACATCCATTTTGATCGTTCCTGAATCATTTTGATTATTTTTTGGCATGACGTCTGTACGTTCCGACAGAATAAAAGATTTGTTTTTTTCCAAAATGGTTAGGTTAGGTTAGGTTATTTACTTACGGTAAAGCCTTAGGGATATGTGCCTAAGGGAAGGGATGCCTTCGTGGAGGACTTTCTGAGGAAAACTTGCTTGTATACACGTTTTTCAAAAAGGGTTTTAAAATGAACACAAAATGGGTTCAAAATGCAATTTTTGTCACTTGTTAGTTTACGAGTTTTTCACATCGTTTATGAGTTATGCTTTACGTACGTATCTCGCATAACCAGAAAATGATTTGAACATTGAAATTTTGTGTATGGGGCCGCTATAACATCTAGTTGTACACCTCTCTCTTTTTCATTGCAGACCGAAAAGTATATATATATATATATATATACATACATACATACGCCCTACTCGGCTTAAAAGCCCTTACCTAGCCTTTATTTTCGCAATCGTTGGTAGTAGATATATATTTCCAATTACGAAAGGGTTTAAAATGACGAAAATATCCATATATAATTTCAAATTTGAAAAAACAAAATGACTTTGGACAAATAACGAAATCTAAATTCTAATGCGGTCTTCCGGTTCCTATACTTGAAATTACGAAAGTTTTATATCCGTTATGAAAAAATAAAAATACAGTTTCACTTTTGTATGACATAAACTGAGCGGGATATTTAACTCCAAAATTTGCAATTTTTTATGTCATTTTCAACTTGCTTTGAAAGATCGGCTAATTAAATTATATTAATCCAAGAAATGAGTTTAGATGAAGTACAGCAAAAAATGTGTATAATTTAAGAGGCTGTACAAAGAAGTCATATGGTGCCCACATCAAATTTATATACTATACCTTGCTTATGAACAAACAACAATTCTCTTAGCAGGGGATAAATATATAATGACAGCGAACTAAACTGTTTGGCACAATATTTGGAAGTCTTTCTCGAGTGTTGCCTCTAACAGAAAAATATCGACTTAGTACTGATTATTATGTAAAAACAAAAATGTGCATACAAGAGACGAAACTGAGAAAATGATGATAGTAGAAGTAATATTGCACTTCTAATGAAGTTCTGTCAAATTCTGTCAACGTCATAACTTTGAAATTTAATTGCAATTTGATTTCTAAAACATTCTGAGAAGCTTGAGGTTGCATAAAAGTAACGAAAATATCTGACTGTCTGTTCTTAACCTTCCTTGATTAAATGATATCGAAGAACACTTTTTAGACTCTCGTCCTTAACCTAACTAACCACTACGCATAACCATGAATTTAGAAAAAATAATTACATATAATAATTGAAAATATTGTTACATGTTATTTTACTTAAACCTTCTTATGGCTTAAAATATTCTTATGTCTAGTTGTTTTTACAGATGATTTTAAGAACTTATTTCTGAAAAGAATTCAGAAATGAAATTTTAGTAGTACTTTTCTGCTATCGGGAGCGGATTAAAAAATGTACTTAAATATGAATCTATGCTTGTATGTGTGTATAGGTGTCTGTATACACATGCATACATACATACATATATGCATTCATTCATGCATACATACGTACATTTCCGAATCTGGTCCCGATAACAGAAAAATAACGAATTTTTTCAAAATTGTCACTTTTTTGCATGAATTTTAAATAAGCACACCATTCTTAATTTTTACACTAATTATTTATGCAAATTTTAATTTTTTGCTCAAAGGGCGTTAGCCCACAAGAGCTATTAATTTCGTTTTGCGTTGAGAACTTTAAATGTCGGTACGCCTTTTTAAACTGTTGCCACCAAATATTACAGCCCTGTATTATATTTAAAATAAATAAATAATGAAGAATCTCCATAAATGTATATATGTTTCTAGCATTGTGATAAAGCGAAGGTACTTAGAACCACAAATTTTGAATAACGTACGTTTTCACCCGAATACGGGCATCTTGAAGCAAATTTGGAATTTGTTTTATTATCCATTTCATATTTTGTAAAACATTTATGTGATTTTTACTAACAAACTCAACGATTTCACAGCGAGCAATGGCAACACTGTACTGGACAAAAGAAAAAGAAATATCTCCAGCGCGTAAGACTGTGTATCGGAAATTCTAAAGAATTTAGTCCATTTTAAAATTATTTTGCGATATCGCTGTTGAACTGAATTTTATGGTTTAAGGGCGAAAAACATGATATTTAATAAATAAAGCTAACCCACAAAATGTTTAAAAACGCCCCTTTGAGAGTAATATAAAATCTGAAAGCTTTCAGAGATTTTTTTCTTTTTTATATAGAACATAAATTGTATAGGTGCTTTTCCGTTTGGCCGGCGCAAATCTCGCCAAGCAGACTTTATTGGCGACAACATACAGTATACACATAAAAAATATTATAAAAAATTTTAGTTCTAAGAGTTTTTTTTTTTTTTTTTTTTTTTTTTTTAAAGGCATAAACTTTTTAATATTGCTCAAAATTTTATAAAAAGCCAATAAATTAAGGCAATAAATTTGTAAAAGGACATTAATTTAAGAATTTACTATGCTTTCATGGTTCAACATCCTGATTCGCCGGTTCATATCACGTGACCCCAAGCGATCTCATCTCACGTAAACTACTCTACAAAAATCCAATGCTCTCAGTAATTATCTACATTAATTCCAAGTTAAATCTTAATTTGGAACACAAGTTTAAATGCAAGAAATATTTCAATTCGTACGAATAGCTTACTCAGAAATTATGTAAAACTGCAGTGCTTTACTTCGCTAATGCATTCTCATTAGAATTGATGAATTTAACCCTTGACTTTACCTTTTCTATATTTTCGGCTTCGGGTATTGCGTCCTGATTGACTTAATTACCGAAAATGGCCTTAGACATAAAGAACTATCTGATAAAAATTCTATGTAATTATATGCCAGTATTGAAAGAAACAATCAATCTGATAAGAAAAAGATGCGACTTGTTTTGAAAATGAGGCGTAAAAGGTTACCAGCGAGAATATTCCGTTTGGCATCGGTTGTACCATTATTGGCGACTTTATCGCTTGCGCCGGCAAAACGGAAAAGTACCATTGTATATTTTATTTCATTTTTGCAAAAGATGTATGTCAAATAGCTGTGTTTCGTTTACCGTAAGAAAATGGTTATAGTCTGACAATTTAGAGGTATTTATGCACTGAACGAGTAGGTGAATGGGCATTCTAAAAGTTCAAAATTAACAGGTCTATGTACAAAGCGAGTTAGTTAGTAGTAGTAATAGATAACTTTGTCTGTATACTTATGGAATAATTTGCATTTTTCTTGATTTGGGTCAGTTCAAAAGCAGGTGTGGGGAAGCAGACAGAATCTTGGAGTCTATCAGAATCTATCTGAATTTTTTCCCTTAATAGCCAATATATTTATGCCTCTAGTTAGTTTTATTGCATTTTTAAATGGATCGAGTTTAAAAAAAATGAGCTAGCATTTAAATTAAATATAATTTGATGATCTCTAGCTGCTAACGGGATCTAGAAAAGACATTTTGTGCAGAATATGTTGCAAGATATCAGATTATAATGTCCTCTTTGTAAAAAAAAAAATGCATTTTGCTCTTACGAATTTCATTGCTTAATGCATAAATTAAATATATATATATAATAATGAAGAAGCAGAAATAGAAAAATTTTTTGTCATTTTTCATTAGATCGTGAAACAATCTCAGAATTAGGCATTTATTTTTTTAATACCGTATCATTTATTTAAAACACGCTTTATGCTTAAAACCCGTGAAAATTATGTAAATAAAAAAGTACAATTTACCTACATTCGTTCGTAAATCTGTCGCTAATAAGGCACGTATGTTTCCTTCAACTTAGAAAAGACACTAAACCCTTTAACGACGCAAATATCACGAATTCATGCTTGAATAAACCCTCTTATCGCTCAAAATCTTTTAGCACTTTATTTCAGCGTTACATTAGAACAAAAAGTCTTTCAAAATATCACGCTTTGAAACTTATTTGCCAAAGAATTATTACATAAACCGTGAATTAATTAAAAGGATCAAAGTAGGGCAAAGTCGCTAGCATTATGAACTCTCTTTGCCTTTTGTATACATTGCGAAGCTTGGAGAAGAAAGCACGTTCATGTCGAGATTAACGCTGCCAGATCCAAGAGAAGAATCTTTGATGCCGTCTATTTTGCGTGTTAGATCTGAGCCACAAGCGGTTTCGTCACGTTTTCTACAAAACGCACGTTTTAGGTGGATTTAGATTGGCCATTTCACTGTGCCGCAGGGCTTTAGTTTAGCAGAGCGAAATGGCCATTGTTTGCGAAACGCGCTGCGACGAAATTGCACCTTTTGTTCAAGGACCTCCATAAAATGGATTGGTAGAAAGGCATGTAAATGTTTGTACACATATTCTTCATGTGCATGCTTTTATCTTGGTTTGGATAACGACGAGCTATTCGATGTTGTTACGGGTAATATTTGCTTTCATTTTAAACTCGGTCCACGGCTTACGTGCCAGTATTTATTTAATTCATTATGAATGATGAACTGAGACCGACTCTCTCGAAATAAGGGATTAAATTTAGATAACATTTAATGGCAGTTCTATTGAGATTAATTTAATTTATAATTTTTCTTTTGTTGAACTGAAAGGCCTTTTTAATCATAACGCGTCCACATTATTTGCATTCCTCCCTTCTCAAACATTAGTTCGTAATTAGTGTTAGTAATTAGTGGGATATGAACAGAAATTTAGTTTTACTTCTGTTACAAAGCACAAAAAAAATTTACACGTGGCATAACATACACAATCAGCAGGCATAGAAACACACATACACAAACCATATTTCTTTAGTTTACTTACTTGACTATGCTCCTCAATTTCAGTGGCAAAGGGGCAAAAAAAAGACTGCTTAAAAAATAGATTAAATAAACACAGCTGTCAAATATTCTTTAAATAATCAGCTTAAATTTATTAATAATATTGTGCACAGCTATATAATTAATATTTTGAAAAATAGAGTAATTTCGTAATAATATATAGAATGTAAAAATATGTGACTCCAAGATGCCATTCATTCTAATGTACACGACCCACTTTTAGCAATAAATAAAAAAATTCTCATTAGGACAAAAGAAATGCAATATTTTATGGAATAAATCCATTTACTCCTTAAAATATTTCAATGGAATAAATCCAGGTTTCTAGTATTTATTATTTAAATTAACCAGTTATTTAAATTTCAGCCTTTACTACAACTTCTCCTCTTCATTTCCTCGCCGGAAATCAAATCAGCAAGATACTATTTAAGCTGAATTTTTTGGACTGTAAGACAGGGCGTGTTTCTGCCTCTCGATGCTAAATTCTTACTTAGTTTTTACAGTTCTGATATATTTGTAATAAATCGTCTTTGAGTTATTTACTGCCAACATGTCGGTTTTAGCTTTCTGATCCAGCTTACATTTAAATGTAAATGTGTAGCCCTTGACTACTAGTCTTCGTTTTAAATTTGAATGGCATTAGTTACTTAAGTTTCATCGCTATATCTGGTGGTTGATTTTGTTAAGACGTGTACTTGTGTTCAAATTCTGTTAAATAAAAGGATTGTTTTAAACCCTTTCAAGTCGCTGTTCTTATTTCAGACACAGCGATAATTCTCTGTACGTCTGTTAAGAGTTTGGATGTCGTATCTGCTAAATTCATGTAAAATTCTGTACTGGCGTCTGAAGCAAAGTAGGAACAATGGCACAAGATAAGGAACTATTTAGTCTTCACACCACCACAGATGATTGGCTCCTTCGGCATCGATAAGGCTCATGAAAGGATTCGGATTTAGCGCAGTTGCGATGCTTCAATGAAATCCACAGTGAATTTGTAAATTTGTTGGCAGAAGTTTCGTAATGACCTTTTCGTAACAACTGGATTTGCAGTTTTTGCATTATTCAGTTACTGAAGCACTGGAGGTTTCCATAGAATCGCCGCGACTACGAGGTCCGGCACTGGTAACAAGTGCATTGGTAAAATTCGTTATGAGAACCTGTCAGCAAGAATTATAAGTTGTAATTATTTAAAGACACTTCCAACTTGTTAAAGCATTCCCTGTGTTGAAACACAGAACGAAACTACAAACATAACTGTTTGGTAGGTATCAAATTAGCGTTAAAGAACTCACCGGGCTCATATTGAGAAAAATACAAGTTTTTATCTTGATGTATGGGAATAAATCCGATGCAGAGATTATAAAAATTATCCTGCCTACGTGGTTACCCCAAATTTTGGACTTTTTTTTTTTTTTTTTTTTTAATTAGGAAAATCAAATAAGCTGGAAGAAATATTTGAGCTCGCAGAAAAGCTTGAAAGTAGGCGAACGTAACCGCCCATGGGGATACAAGTAAAGCTCCAGTGAACAAATGAGTAGATCTGCAGCAAAAAGAAGGCAAAACCTGGAAAAGTTTTGATAATACGAAGAAATTTTCACCCGCAGATTATGATCGCCAAGATAAATCACAAAAGAGGAAACAAAGGCAAGAATTACAACTAATAAGGAGTACTGAAATACAGCAGGTGCAGACACCACTGACGGAGAAAACCCTTCTTGGTTTTCCTTAAATAGTGTGATAATAAAAAATGTGTTCTTGAAATAATTCAAATTCTGTTAAACAACTTACCAACGGACGCATTGTTGGATACAGGAACGCAAAGTAGTTTCTTCGCAGAAAATGGTTTTCGAAAAACTTTAATGCTGATAAATGAAAAATGTTGTTCTTAAACACATACCTAGTTTAAGTACAAAATTTGAGAAGTTCTCAATTATATAGTAATGTATTTTTTACGGAAGTCTGTTCAGAATTCCAATTATAGTATCACTTACGGTTTACGACTTTAGCCAGAATCTAATTTATCGATTCCACTGATATAAAAATCTTAAATACCAAAATTGAAAACGTTTTGAATGATAATTTAATATTTTTTCATTAAAATCTACTACGAGGTTAAAGTAAAGTACCATTTCATTTTGTCTGTTGAATATTAGTATGGAATTTATGTAAAATACATCTTCCGATTGTCCAGTTTTACACCAAATCTAATTGAATCTTTATACAAATGCAGAAAGCTTAAATAAGGAAAAGAAATTTTTGGAATTTTCATATAATGCGGTCCTAGTTATTAAAATAGCAACACCATGAAGGAAAGCAAATACAAAAAAGATATTTATTCCACGTAAGCAGTATCGCACGAAGAGAAAATGATTAAATTTATAAGCATTTTGGAAATTACAAAGGTGCTAAATTAAAAGAAACAGCTGCCACCCTTCGTAGCTGAAACGGACATTACTGCATTAGGCATGGAGTCAAATGGGCTTGGATGACAGAAATGGCCAACTCATTCCATGCTGCTTCAAGTCTGTGCCACACTGCATCAACCGTATTAGTAGAGAGGTATGACGGGCCAGTCTCTCAGCAACCCATGACCAAACAGATGTTTTCAATGTGTGACAGGTCTGGAGACCATGCAGACCAGGGCAGCAGTCGAATAGCCTGTATATCTAGGAATGCAAGATCAAGACGTGCAACATGTGGTCTTGCATTTTCTTGTTGGAACATGGCGTTTGGAGGCCTCGAAGATGGCGCACAACTACTTGACGTAAGATGTCAGAAATGTACACAATCTAAGTTCCAATTGTCTTCAATCCGAACTAGAGATATGCATGTCGTGTACCCGATGGCTGCCCAAACCATTGCACCAGATGCAAAGCCTCTACGACGATATCGAACGTAAGCAGGCGACGTGCGGTTTCCTCAGACACTCCAGACAGGTATACGGCCATCAGAATACTGCAAGTAGAACCATGATTTGTGTGTGAAGGCGCCATTGTGCGACTCCTGTACCTAGCTTTGTTGTTTGGCGCACCAGAGTCGCCGTCTCTTTGTATGCTGCATTGTCAAGGGAATCCAAAGTAATGGTCACCCTAAGTAATAGTCCACGCTGCTGCAAACGTCGACGTATTTTACGAGCTGATACTGGCTATCTGGGAAATGGGCGTATATCTGAAAAATCTGGGAAATGGGCTGATACTGGCTATCAGAAAATGTGCGTGTTTGCAACACGCCCATTTCCTGACTAATGGTCCGTAATGTGGTCGTACGGTTTTGCAGGGCTAACCTCACAATGTGCCTGCCTTTCTGGCGTTAATCATGGGAGGGCGTTGAGATCCTGCATGCCGTTCAGTATGACCCTCAGCAACCCAATGATTCCATGGTCGCATGACAGTGGTTGGATTTCGACCAGTGCGACCGGAGATATCACAGAACAGTAAAACTACACTTTCGATAGGCAACAATCCTGCCTCTATCGAATTTAGAAACTTGCTGGTAAGCATTTCCTCTTCTTATTCGAGGCATAACACGATATTCTGAGGAAACCCCAACCTTATAAAGCACTTTCCGAATGAGAAATCCACTACACAACGTTTCTTTTATGCAGTGTTTCAGGTGTCGTTTTTCGCTCCTGCGTAGCCTAAATGCGCTGAAATACTAATAATCATTTGCATATCCCAACATATTCTTCCTTTCATGTGATTTTGATGTTCTTCAGATCATTCCTTCCTGTTGTTGTAAATTTAATGTCCAACAGTGTAGTTACCGTGGACGAAAATTTTGTCACACACACGCACAGACAGATAGGCATCATTACAAAAATAGGAAAAATGTATTTGTAGTCTCTTTACTTCTATGTACTACATAGATTGGCAGGAAGTAATAAAATACGATATTTAATTTTTTTCTGTTTCTAGTTCTGTATTTTTAAAAGCGAAGCATTAAAAATATATTAAATTTTGTATATTTGAAATTTTATATAAGGATTTGCAAAACTGCTTCCTGAAAGTACAGCTTCGATACACATGCCCCCTTTACCCTTAGCTGATGGTT